GCTCGGATTCTTCCAACACTCCTCCCTACTCAAATCTGTCGCAAACCCGGAACTAATCGCACTTCCGATATGCGCTGGATCGACAGCCCTCTCATCCCGCATAATTGGACTATGATGTGTAAATATGACAATCTTCCTCTGCGGCTCGGACGCAGATATAGCAGCAACCTGCTCATTCAGCCACGTCAGGTCCGCGGCGTGAGTGGCATTGTGGCCTTCGACGGCCCAGTCGTCGATCAAGTAAAAGTCGTTGAGGCCGAAGCTCACTCTCTCTTTGTGCTCGGGGGGAACGTGCGAGTAGAGTGTGCATCCAAGAACCGTGATATTATTGGGCATATCGTAGCGCGTGCGGTCTAGAAAGACGAATATTCCTAGGCCCGAAGTTGGATCTAGATTTGCTTTTTCGCGAGTTTCGCGTTCAAACGCGTTGATTTTGCGCCTGGCTTCGTCCCAGCTGCAGTGGTACGGTTCATGGTTGCCCATTAAGAAAAAGACGGTGCGGAAATTACGTAGCTGTGCTTCGATAAACGGGAAGAAGCCCTTGTCGCGCACATTACCGATGTCTCCCAGGAGCGCGAGATGGGGTGCTTTGGGAGGAACGTCGAAGATGTCGTAAGTGGAAGGAGACTCGAGATGGAGATCGGAGAGGATTTGGAAGGATGCCATGGCTAGAGGTACTGGGCCTTTCAAATCGAGATTTAATCACTGATCTTGATTTCTGATGTTGGGTTGTGGTGTGTTGTGGTGCTGAGTTGTTGGTAGATGTTGGCGGCTAAAAAACAACTCTGCCTCCCGACCCGGAGCAACCCCATAGTACTTCTACTACTACGACACCAAAACCATTGGGGTAGCATCTTTTGCACAAATACGCTCTATAAATTTAGGTTCCTATTGCTAGTGCTATTCAGCACACTTGCGCTGTATGATGGTCCATCAAACGATACTGGTCCTCCGTAGTATAGTGAGCCGTATACGGAGTACACATAGATGCAATAATACGTTACGTTCATTATTAGCATAGCTCTCCATGCACCAACAGATAAAATAAAAAAAAATCCTTGAAGCCACTCAAATTAGACAGAAGCAATGAGTTTCTCCCTCGCTGCCACAAATGCAGCAGTACTATTTTCCAAAAAACCATTAACCATAAAGTCTCTGAACACCGGCTGAAGCGAGTCAAGGTTGAGGTACCCGCGTGGATGGACGTATTGTACGAGATACGATGCCCAGCTCATGTAGTGGAGGTCATGGCAGCATCCTGGATTGTCCTCAATACCTCGAGCAAGGCGTGCGTAGTTGACGAGGCAGGCTTCCAGGAAGCAGGAAATTGAAGGCACACGCACGGAGCTGTACTCTGGAGCAAACGCACCCTTGCCGTAGCCTATTATCGGCTCAGGAAGGCAACCAAGGTCAGACGCGGAGATGATTTTGTCGCCGGCATCTGGGATACTGGGAATGTTTGGAAGCACTTCGGACAGCGGGTATAGATAGATATGCGTGTCTTCTGTGTCCAAGTGGAAATGGTTGATAGGAGGGGGACGAGACCGAACTGTAACAACGATACAGTTCTGGTCCGTGCAGGAGACTAAGCCAGCAGCGCTGTTGAGGACCTTTCGCGCTCGGGGTACCATGTCGTCGGGTACTGCAAACGAAGCATCCTGCAGAATGTCAGTCCCACGATTCCCCCGCGAAGTTGCGGCAGGCCACCCATCACATACATTGCTCAGCGACGGGATTCCATAGACAGTGAGAAGGTAGTTTCCCCATAGAACGTTTGGGACTCCGCTGGAATCCAGGAGACGCGAAACAGCATGGATCAAGGGCTCGCCAAGTGGGAGAGAGCGGATTTGGTTTTCAGGCTGTGCAGCGTTGGCTGCTACTAAATGTGGCATGGTTGAACAAACCAAAGGGTCGGCAGTACTCGTATGTAGTTTGCCAAAGGAACAAGAGAAGAAAGGGCAGAAAGAAGATGTGGTCGATGTCGTGTCCTGGGTGTGATGGTTGCTGTGATGATGTTTGTTTGGACAGCGCCCAGGGAGGGAGGAGGTCAGGTAGTTCACCACTAAACAAGCCACACCACTAAACGAGCCAAATTTCGCCAAATGCTCCACGCAACGAATTTATTAAATATCTCAACAACCAGATCTTTATTATTAAATAGCTATTAAATATTAAATAAATGTATTCTTTAAAGCATAGAAATTAGTATAGTTAGGAAAATAAACAGGTGGACAGCCTAATATTACAGCCAGAGCAAGAGATTCAGGGGGTAGATAGGAAAGAATTCAAAGGAATGTCAACAGTAGATTTCTCAGCTAGAGAGTCTAATGCCTTGCTAGAGATGCTTGTAGAGCTCTTACTTCCCCTTTTGAAAGATTGTATAGGCTCTCCACAATAAGGCTCTTTAGTAGAGGAGTCCTTCTGACAGTGCTTTGAAGCTGGTGCTTGAAGCCCTGACTGCCAGCATTTATTAGCACATTCAACTGCCTGTTTTTTCTTCTCTGCTAGTTGTAAAGCCTTCTTCTCCTCACAAGCAACATGTTGTGCCTCTCTTTGCCTAGCATATTCAATTTTTTCAGTCTCTTATTGCTCCTAGGCCTTTTTACAGGCATTCTCCCATTCAATCTACCTTTTTTCAATATCTCTAGCAGTCTGCTTCTTTTGAAGCTCTTATTGAAGTTTTGCCTCTTGTGTTTGAGCAATTTTATCAGCTTTTTGAGTCTCTATTTCATCCAGATGCTTGCATGCCTTAAGAACTTTTGTTGGAGACCAGAACTGTACTTGACTAGAATTATCTCTATTGAGTAGGCCTAGGGGCTTGCCTTGCTTGCAGTGTTGCTTCTCTATCACTAGAGTTGATTTTAGTTACTGATTCTCATGTTCCAGCAGTTCATTATGAAGAGCAAACTGCTCACTAGCTTGAATAACCCATTCAATGCTCTGTGAATTTAGGCTGTCCTGAAGATGTATACCCTTAATCTCTTGTCAGAACTGGTGCATATTGCTAGAAATAGAAGATTTAACTGGTAGTATAGGGGCTTGAGCAGTTTCAAATTGATGTAGTTGATATTAAGGATCCAGAGGGTTAATTCCAGTTTTTGTAAAGCCAGCAAGTATATTTTCAACTGTCAAAGTCTTCTTTCAAGCCACATTGAATAGTCTCCAGAAATCCCTTTTTGTCATTTGAATATAGCTTATTTCTTGATGTAGTAATGCTTTCAGCTTATTGAAATATGCCTTGCCCAGCAGCCCAAAGATTCCAACATCAAGAGATTGCAAACAGTGGGTTGAATGCAGCAGAAGAATCATAAGAAGAATCTTTTTATAGTCAGCATATTCAATAAATTTCATATTTATATGAGAGGAATGGCCATCTAGTAGAAGCAGATGTCTTTCTTGACCAGCTTGTTCCTTAGTATGCCAATTGAAAACCTGTTTCAACCACTTCAGTTCATATTCATCATTGCTTCAACCATTTGTTGAAGCTGTAAAGTAGGCTCATTTGCTTCCATCATAATCATCTAGTCATGTATTCTGGAGATCTCACAATTCATCCTGGTAAATAAGAGCTGGAGGTAGTGCAATTTCTTCAGCAGAGACTGAGCAGAGCAATGAGAATTTCCAACTATCATCCTGAGTGGTGGCATTCTTTCCAGCTTGTAGAGCTTTAATAGAGACTAATTGCTTTGAGGCATGGCAGGAGTCTAGAAGAAATTCTTTTTCATCAAAGTTGTAGATGTTTGAGAGCTCAAGATTATATTAATCAATTTTCTGCTCCAACTATTCCATAAGTAGTAGTCAAATAGTTAGCCAGCATTAACAACTGCAATTGCAAGTAATCAAATAAATCATCAAATTACAAGCATATAGAAGTGCTTAAAGCACTGATAGTTATCTGCTATCTGCCTATTTTGATTAATTGCTTTGAGATAAATGCATTTGATCTTGTCATTATGCCACTCACAAAATTAATTAATCCAGTTGATCCCAACATCCTCTCCTGTCATCTCTTGTACAATATTTCATAGGATCTGAGGTGTAATGGCAAGGCCACAGCTAGAGAGCTTGTTTATATAATTCAGGAGTTCTGCCTCCTGTATATCAGAGAGCTTTTTCTTATATCAGGAGGCTGCTTCATCCTGAGCAAGTTGCAAGCCTTTATACCATCAGTACAGAGTCTCTCAGTTAACTGAGTACTTTCTTGCAGTTGCAGCATAATTTGGAGTCTCTTGTAATTCAAGATCTTCAATTGCAAGCCTAATTGAGGTGTTGTTGACCATGTTGTTGCATATTGAATGTTGAACATTGGAGGAATTTTGGTGGTGGAAGATTTGGCTCGTTTAGTGGTGTGGCTCGCTTAGTGGTGAACTACCTTAGGCCTATCAAAGGCAAGACTTCAAGTGCCAAGCCAGGCCCCAGAGGCACTGGGAAAAGGACGAAAAAGAACAGATGTTGGCTGCGTGCAACACTGGGCAATTGTGATCCTACTCCAGGAGGCCTGCGACTATGTTTAGCACCTACCCCGTGTAACTAGTACTTCTTCTCCATGTCCTAGTACGGCTGATTTTAGTAGGCCTAGGCCTAGGCCACATGTACCTCCTCGCAGTCTCGTCCTCGTCTCGTCTATCGATCAACCACCCAGATGAAACCCTTTCGCCTACATTGTCTGCTCTTGTTATGCACACGATAGGTCCAGGTTCTCCCATGAGAGCCAACAAGCTCCATGGGCATGCGCCCTGGGCGCGTCGTGATGCACATTCAGCCCCATTTTGTGGCAGACCAGGGCGTTTACCTACGCGCCGGAGTTGCCATACCTCCCAACTTAGTGTAGAAGATTCTACTCCCCAGAATTATGTGTATATATATATCCAAGATGTATGCTTGCGATTCTGGACTTCCTCCTATCTCCTTTTACCACCAAACCCCTACCACCAATATCCATTGCTACATACTATATACTATACGGATACCCATCCAAATATCAAGTCTCGAAACCCGCGATGGCGACCAACACAGCGTTACCCACCCTCAAGGAGCTGGAGGAGACTGCAAGAGCGGCGATTGATGCCCTGAAGCAGTATCCTGAGTTTGGCAGTGCCAAACTTGCTATCATCGGAGGAACCGCCTTGTGGAAGTACATCCCTAGCGGAAGGACCACCAAGGTATGGAATAACTTAAGCTCCTAGACGTCATGTCCAATGCTGGTGCCTAACGCCTGTCTAGGACGTCGATTTCCTAATCACTGTTTCTGGTGCCCCCCAGGCTGTGAAAACCAAGCTTCTCCAAATGCCAAACTCCCGCTTTGCAGAATACGCCCAGCTCTTCGTCTATAAACACCCAAGCGGCAAAAACATTCAAATCGACTTCACCCCTGAGTGGCAGGTAAGAAGGACGTTGACCAAGAGCGTTTTTGCTTGAACCCTTGTCTAACTGCTTACCATCCTCTTCGCAGTCCGCATATGTTCCCGAAGCTGCAAAACCAATCAGCACAATCAATTCGGCGGTCCTTCCATACATTTCTGCAGTTGATCTACTTGCGCTCAAGATCAATACCTGCGGCATGCGCCCGACAGTCGGCAAAAAGACCCAGGACGCCCTGGATGCCATGGCGATCGCCGAGAATATCCTGGCACAAGGCCCGATTGTGCTTACAAATGTTCAAAAGGAGGCCGCAAGGGTTGGAATTCAAGATGTGGTGACTTGGAGCAAGCGACCGTCTACTTGGTGGAACCAGCATTTGCAGCTCTGAGGAGTAAATAGACCAACCCCATGCCTGTAAACGGAACACAAGCGATGTTGGACCCTCATGCTGTGTTAACGGAGGTTGTGATCCTGAACCATTGTGAATAATGAGGCCCATCAAATGCCTGCTTCACGATCCAACAATTGATTCCTACGCATTTCCTCTCTATGTACACCTTGCTGTCCCAAGTATCCTAGCAAAACAAACGAGATCATATCAAAGGAAAGTAGCAAAGAAATCAGTCGGTAACGAACGCCATTCGCAAACCCTACGTTATACGATCCAATATACAAGAACGACCAAACGAACGTGCGGGACCAGGTATGTACATTAAAAAATCACTTGCTGCTCTTCGGAGACGACGCGATAGAACTATATGTTCTGAAACTGGGGTAATGGTGCGAGTAATCTTTGTCATCATCGTCTTCGTTCGAGAATGTAGGCCGTCGGGGTGCTGAGAAACTTCTCTGAGGCGCGACGTACCTCCTTTCAGGGATGGGAGACTGCCAACCTGCGACCTTTTGGCTCTCCAGCACGGTAAGAGGCATGTCGCCGACTGGACTCGGACTGGCGTATGATCGACGCGAGACTCGCGAGTGATCGCGCTCGATGATTTGCTTGCGACTACTACTGCTGCTAGCGCCGCCGCCAAAGAGGCCACCGCCAATTGGCACGGGGCCGTTGTCGGGGGTTTTGCGGCCGCAGAGGAAATCGACCCATGCCGTCAGCATGGAGCGATGGAAAAGGACGACAAAGTCCCAGAATGGGCAGATCTGTGAGCCAGTTAGATGAGGTACAGACCCGTAGCTTGTGACATTACTCACCATTAACAGGATTAAACATCCCAATAGGAAGCTTTGGTCCGGGCCTAGTCCTCCGGCAAGATTAACGCACTGCTGTTGGCTTTTCTTGGTGATCAAGCAAATAAGTCAAGGTAGCATGTCCATAGCTGAAGCATCGTACAAATAAGCGACCTGTATAAAAATCGCACTGAGGAGGGCGACGTGCAACAGAATCAAGGAAACGACCGCTATTGCCCGCAATTGGAGTTGTAATATCCGTTGAACGCGTCTCGACGCGGCCCGTGCGGTTAGTCTGCGGCTGGTATCAAACGAAGAACCGGATCTTGCGTGGTTGACCGTGCCCTGTTTCCAGTCCTGGTAGAGCGGTTTCAATATCATATAGAGGCAATATACCACGGTCACCAGCTCGATTATCAAAGTCGCCGAAGACACAGCTATCAGTGGAATCCAAAAGTCTCCTTGCTCCTGTATGGAGAGATCAGGCATGCCTTGCCGAATTGGTAGCTCGCGCCGGTAATCGTGAGAACGAGGGCAAGCATGCCAGTGGATCCGCCGTAGATTACGGAGTAGAGCAAGACAAGATATTCTGAATTTGGTACCAAGCGTTTTTTCCCAGCAAACCGTGAGGTGAAGGAGCATGGCGCCGCAGAAGCCTAAGTGTCAAGACACTAGTCTCTATGTAGTTAATCTCCAGCTTAGCGGCTCGGATCTTCTTTGATCTGATGCAGAGTTTTCATCTCACTTCTCATCCCACAATTCTTTTGGAATGAGAGGAGGGGAAGCACTCAGATCCTATCAAGTTTATATTCTGTTATTCCTAGAGCTTCTGCATATGATTAGTAGTCTTATAGATTCTTTGAGAGATTCTGAGCCCTTCTTTAGAAATCTTTGAAGCCTTTGAAGTTGCTAACAGAGAAAAAACTCTTAATAGAATAATGAATATTGATTCAGAGAACTCTTCAGCTTCAAACTCCAATTCAACCTTTATAAATATAGATTCAGCAGAACATATGGAGAGTGCTAGAATTAATACAGATGCACAATAGCCAGCAGACATTATATGATAAGTTAACTTTCTACAAAGCAGTATTGCAGACCATCAGTTCAGAGAAATAACTTTCTAAATTAAAAACAACTTTAATATAGCAGACAAAATAGTTACAGACATTACTAGAATAATAATTTAGTTAATTCTTATGCTACAAGATAAGAAAAAGATGAATACTTGATTAAATATTGTCAGATTACAGCTAAACCACTATAACTAGGGAATTCTAAATAATATAGTAATGTCAGAGAAAACAGAGACTTCTGAAAATATGTAAATTAAATAGCAAAGTGCTATAATATTCTTTACTACATGACTCAGCTTAAGCCTGAAAGACAATACTTAAAATCAGATTAATTAGCATTATAGAGATAGCATTAATGACTCTGCTCTTATAATATTCTGCACAGAGCAGCTCTTTCTAAAGTTTAATAAAAATATGTATATTTATACAGCAGAGAACTATTTTTACACATATTAATACAACTATAAATCAGTTATATAATATCTTGATGTACTGCTTGAATAATATCAGAAAGTATTGCAAGCTTCTCATTCATTACATTTTTTTCTAGTAATTAACAAGATAATTGAGAGTCTATAAGTGATTAATAAGAATTACACAAATAATATACTATTGATAGTTCAAAATACAAACTTAAGTAACATAATATATAAGAATATAAAAAATCTTATACAGAAGACAAAGAAATATATAAAAGCTTCAAGCAAAATTTATATAGCTGAACAAATCAAATTCAGAGAGATTATCTTTAACAAGTAAATTGCCAGGTGGCTCACTAGTAAAATGAGCTGCAGGTGCACTCTAGAGTATGGGGTTCAAATCCTTTAACTGGCACACTTTTTTATCCACCAGAGTTGTGATGTAAAAAGCAACACATGTATGCTCATGGCTCTACTAAGCTACTTACTACCTCTTATCTAATGATAACTGATAATTAGGTAGAGATAGTAGGTGCATCTAGTATCTGGTGAAGCTAAAATGAATGTGAGTAGGTAGACTCCACTGCACTACTAAAAGCTACTCCACTTAGAAATCCAATAATAACTAATAATTGGGTAACTAAGTGGGGCACTAATTCAGGAGAATGGATTTGAAAACCACCCAACAAGGTCACTTCTGGTTATCTCTGATAGAGGTAATTGGTTAGTCATTATATGGTGAGACTGTCATTATATGGCGAGACTGTGACAGCTAATTGGTAGGCTGGAATGCTGAGATTAGCAACTAGAAGATGGGGTCTAGTAGGTAGTAGGCTAGCTTAGCTTCTAGAGAACTAGCTACTAGATCAGTAGGCTGGGCAGTGGTGGCTTAACTAGAATCAGAATAGTTAATGCTGGCTTAAGAGGACAGTTTGTGGCAGTTGATTATTATAGGCACATGTAAATAGCTTAAGGTGTATCCCTCTGTGTTTGCATTTCCTACAGGCCTGGTTGACCCCTGGATGGGCCTAGAACTTCAGGGCTAGGGTGGCTGAGGGCCAGGGGCCATCAGAACTTGAATTAGAAGCAACTAAATTAAGAAATCTAATTCAAATCTCTATTGAGAAACACATTCTCAAGAAGAGAATAACTGAAAGATCTAAGCCTTGGTGGAATAATGAGCTAAAAATCAAGAGAAAAACTATAACAAAAGTCTTTAGAGAACTGAAGAATAAGCAAGTTAGCTTAGAGTTCTTTCAACAAACTAGAAATGACTACTTTAATGCTATTAAAGAGGCAAAGTCATCTTGTTGAAATGAATTTCTGGAGAATGCTCAAGAAAAAGAGATTTTTAAACTATATAAATATACCAAAGAAAAAAAAGTGGAAAAAACTCCTATTCTAAAATTCTCAAACTCTGAAAATGAAATAGAAAATAAAGCTATTTTATTTAAAGAGAAATGCAATACTTTTATAAAAACTCTTTTCAGAGAACCACCAAGTTATCCACCAATAAATTGGAATGAATATCATGAAAATCCAGATTGAGAATAGCCTAATCTTCAAGAAATAGAGATCAAGAACTTTATTTTTTCAGGCTCCAAAATCAGTATATCTGGCCCAGATGGTATATTCTTTCTTATACTACAAAAAATCTATCCAGTACTTAAAGATAGATTTTTCAAGTTATACTCTATACTATTTGAAAAGAGATATCATCCAGAAATCTGGAGGGAAGCTACTGGAGTTATTCTAAAGAAACCAAATAGAAAAGCTTCATTACCAAAATCTTACAGAATCATCTCTCTACTTAACTGCTTGAAAAAAGTTATAGAGAAGGTTATTGCTTCTAGACTTTCTTATTGAGTCTCCCAAAATAAACTACTATATTTTGATCAGTTTGGAGGAAAGAAGCAATGCTCTGCTGTAGATGCTGTAATGAGCTTAGTACATGATATTCAATTAGCAAAAGCTAATAAATTGGTAGCCTCAGCTCTTTTTATTGATATAAAAGCAGCATTTGACTATATTTCACTAAATAGACTTTTAAAAGTCTTTTCTGATTTGCAACTACCTAAATCACTAGCTATATGGATTTTTCATTTTATGCAAACAAGAAAAATCTAACTGGTTTTTGATGGTGAGAAACAACAAGAAAAGATATTTATAAATATTGGAATTCCTCAAGGTTCACCTCTATCTCCAATACTTTTCTCTATATATACTATATTTCTCTTTAAGAATAATAATGATTTGGATCTTAAAGGTATCAGAATTCCTAGTTATATAGATGATACTAGACTTGTTGTCTTCTCTTCCTCAATAGAAGAAAACTACTTTAAGTTAGATAAAGCTTTACAAGCAATGTCTAATAGACAAGATTCTCATATAGTTCAATTTGATATGGAAAAAACTGAGTTAATCCACTTTACTAAATCATTTAGTGAAGATAACTCAGTTAAACTACATGGTCAAGTTTTTAAATCAAAAAAGCTAGTGAGATGGTTAGATATTTGACTTGACAATACTCTTACTTTCAAGAACCATGTTGAAATTAAGATATTAGCTGCTGAAAAAGTTCTTAATCAAATAATCAGACTTTTAAATACTGAAAAAGATCTTACTTTTCAAGCTATAAGACAACTTTATATAGCTTGTATTACTTCAGTAGCTGATTATGATGTTCAGATTTGGTGGAAGAATTAAAAGAATCTTCTCTATAAGTATGAGAAACTTCAAAACTCTGCTTTAAGAAAGATTCTAAAAGCTTTTAAAACTTCTCCAATTTATGCTATAGAGATTGAAGCTGCTATTTCTCCTGCCAAAGTAAGATTTAATAGACTATGCAGAAACTATGCTTATAGACTGTTAAAAATATCAAAAGAATATGTAATATGTAATCAGAAAAAGAGTATTTTCTAGCTTTCCACCTTATAATAATGGTGTTGATCTTGATTGGGAAAGGTTTTTAGATTGAAATCAATCAGAATTAAATAATGAATATGTTGTACAAGCATCAACTAAAAGAAAAAGAAAAAGAAGAAAAATCAAAAAACAAAAAAAGTATCCAAGTCAACTATTCAGAATTTGTTCAATGATTTCAAATATATTACCTTCTCTCAAAACAGAGACAATCAAAGCAAAATGGGATGCATCTTGGTCTGAAAATCTAGCTGATTTGATGGATATTCAAATTGAAAATTTAGACAAGAAAACAGCTAAAGATAGTCACATAAAGAGAATTAAAAATCTAGATAATAGATCTTTAATTCTCTATTCAGATAGATCTAAAGCTGAAGAAAATCAATATGCTGGTGCTGGTGTATACAATCTACAAGATAATATTAGATTTTCATGGAATCTAGAAAAATATCTTGAAGTCTTTGATGCAGAACTGTTTGCTATAGCTAAAGTATTTAAATTAGCAAGTTCTATCTCTTAGTTTCAATCAAGATCAATATCAGATATCTGGGTGTTTTCTGATAGTCAAGCTGCTATTCAGAGACTCATGAATCAAGATCTTAATTCTGGCTTATATTATCTTCAATCTATAAGAAACACAGCTAAGTATATTAAAATTCAGCAAATTAATCTACATCTTCATTGGGTTCCTGCACATGTAAATATACATGAAAATGAAGAAGCTGATCTAGCAGTAAAGAAAGCTACAGAATTAAATCAAGTTTGTTCTGAAAGATATATATGTCTTACTTATATAAAAAGACAAATAAAAGAACAAGCAATGATAGAGTGGTTTAAAGATCTTTTTAATAAAGAAAGTTCTACAAATTATTACTTTCAATTTAAAATAAAATCCAGATGGAAAGCATCTACTCTTTCTATATCTAAGAAGATATGGTCAACTATTTGTCAATTAAAGCTTGATCATGAATATTTAGGCTGGTATTCGGGACCAGGATGGGATCCCATTTCCCATTGAACCTGGTCCCTGTCCTGAATTTAGAAACAGCCGGGATCCCAAATATGAAATCTCAGTCCCATGTCCCATCCCACTCAAGAGCTTGAGGTCCTGTTCCCATCCCTATCCCAGAAATTATTTCCTGGTCCCATCCTCAAATAGAAAATTATGTCCCACATTTCATTCCAGCAGAGATGGTAGACTCCCATTTCCCATCTCAGCCGGGTCCATAGTGGGACTGGGATGGGACCAGGATTCCCGGTCCCATTGTGTCAAATTCATAGGGAAGAGTCAAACTGATCAAATTTTGTGTGGACTGTTACCAAATTTTGTTACTTTTTTGATGAAGGCGGAACCCATAGAAAAATCAATTTGATTGTCAAAAGAAACCAAGTATTAAAACTAACTAATGATCAAAGCCAGCAAACAAACAGGAACTGCCTAAATGGCAAGTTAATCATCATTATCATCATCTTCATCATCATCATCATCCTCCTTCTCCCTCTCCTCCTCCTCCTTCTCCTCCTCCTCCTGCTCCTCCAGAACCAGCTTTGTGAACTGGACAGGGGCTCTAATACCTGCCATTTGACAGGTGGAGACCCTGACAGCACCAGGGGGAGACAGGGAGGTGGTGGTGGGCGGTGGTGGTGGTGGTGGAGCAGCAGCAGCAGTAGTTGGCAGGGCGGGGGCAGCATGCAGGCAGCAGGTGGTGGCAGCAGAGGCAGGGTGATCAGGCGCATCAATCAGACTGAAATAGTTCAACCCAATTTTGGCACCAATGCCAAGAACAAGCTTCATATCATCAGCATTGACCATAACACACTTACAGTGTGCCATTGCCATAACAGAGTCTATATTACTCAGTATAATTGTTGGTGCCATTGCTAAGGGTGACTTACACTCAAACAGAGTGCATAAGATTGCTTCAGCTGCCTCCTGAAGTGACTCAATGGCAGTATGTTGCCAGCAATATTCATGTCCTTGGTGACAGGACAAAGTAATTTCCTGAACCAATTGCTGGAACAGAGCCACCAGCAAGATTAGCTCAGTAGAGCTCTGAAAGTGGCAGATTTCCTTGATGGCACCTATTTTCACCAATTAGCATCAAGACTGTTACCAAAAATCATTACTTTTTGACATACAAGTGCCGGCCTTCCAATTTTGAACAGGGGGGTGGGGGCAGGGATTCTCCTGGTCAAAGTTGGCCAGGTCAACATCTTTATTGGCTTTACACCAATTGCCCTTCTTCAGGGCCCATTCTTTCAATATGGCCTTGTGCCACTCCTCTCCAGCTGTGCAAAATGGATGTGCACAGGGAAAACTAATATCTTGTCAGTAAACAATGTGCGCCAGAGCAGTATTCTGCAAGCACTCACCTCTTAACACAACCCATTTTGTTGCAGTATATGTTTGTTGTACACGCGGACATCAAAGTGCAGTAAATAAAAAGGTGGTGGAGGGGGGGGGGGGGGGGAGGGGAATCATCAACATTAGCCCTGAAGAGAAAGAAGAAGAAGAGGAAGAGGAAGAGAAGAGAAAAGAGACTGACCTGATGTTATTATCCTGTAGCCAGCATAGCAACAATGTGTTGATCTTGCCCATAGCAACATGCCTGTAGAATGTAAACAATGTGTATAGTAACCATCCTACAGTACTTGGTCAATACACTCTATAATCCCATTATCCTGTAGCCAGCATAGCAACAATGTGTTGAGCTTGCCCATAGCAACATGCCTGTAGAATGTAAACAATGTGTATAGTAACTATCCTATGCAAGTACTTGGTCAATATACTCTATAATCTCATTATCCTGTAGCCAGCAATTCAACTCATCACATACAATTGTGAAGATGGGGCCAAAACAATATTCAATGAGAGAGAAGACCTGTGCGGCACAGGAGCACTGCCAGGCCTTGGAAGGTTATCAAAAAGACATATTCAAGGCAGGAGAGGCGGATTGCAAGGCATGCCATGACATGCTGAAGAGAATCCAAGCAAAACATGAGTGGTATGCACTCTCAGTGGTTTGCATTGAATCATATTGACATCCATTGCAGGCAGAATAGCAGCAAGAAGAATCACAAGATGATTGAAGATAAAGCTATTGAAGAGTTGATGGCCAAGCAATTTGCCAAGAGCAAGTCAAAGGAGTACCATGAGCACCAGCTCATGGTCTCTCAGCAAAAGGAGAGGAAGGAAGAGAAGAAGTGTTGCTGAGAAGAGACCACAGAGGCTGAGAATGAAGCTCAGCAGAAAAAGAAGATAGAATTCAAAAGTAATGAAATTTGGTAATGATCCTGACATATTTAGGCCAAAACAAGCCAGGTGCAGCATTCTATTGCTGCACATAGAGAGGCCTGATTCTGCCAAATGATAGCCAGGCTTGAGGCCAAGGTCATGACCCATGGTCATGATTATCTTGCTGTGGTCAGTGTGTTGAGAGAGAGGGTTGAGGAGGAGATGAGGGGATTCCTGGACCAATTACAGGGTCCAAGTGAAGACAACAACAGCCCACCTGCCCCAGAGGAGGTGGAGGAAGATGATTTTGAGATTGTGGTGTCCTCTGATAAGGATGATGAGGAGGACAATGAGGCAGAGAATGATTGGATTATTGATGCCTAGGGGAGGAAGTTAGGTTTTTAGTTCTTTTTTCATATTAATTTGAGAATGGGGTGCCATTAAATTGGCAAAATGTTTTATTTTCCTGAAGAAGAATGTTCCATTTTGTAGAAGAAGAAGATTTTGTAGTTGGTTGCTGTACTTACAGAGTAAAATGAGGCTAACTACCTAGAGATTGTCAAATTTTGTGTGGGCTCTGACCACATTTTGTTACTTTTTTGACTAAGGCAGAACTTAGAGAAAAATCAATTTGATTGTGAAAAAAAAAAAAAAAAAGAAAAACCTAATGGCTGAAGCCAGCAAACAAGCAAAATCTACAGAGGTTCCTTCAGAATTGACCATAGTTCAACATGGAAAAAAACAATTTGTATTGTGGAAGGAGCTGCATCATAAGTTGTTTATTACTTGGTGGTTGACTACTGAAGCTGCTCAGTTGATTAATGATAAGAAGCATGGTGACCCCAACTGGAAGGCAAAGCAACACCATTCTGATTTTTGGTCAAAATTTGATCAGGTGGCAGAGCATTCTAAGAGCACTCCAGGGGTGATTTGCAAGCATTGCCAAACCTTTCTCAGCCATCCAAGCTTTTCTCAAAACAGTACAAGTGGTCTGAAGAAGCATTTAACAAGCAAAGATTGTACAAAAACTGGTGACAGACAGGGTAACACTCTGGTTAACATGATGGTAGGTCATGGATTCTAATTTCCCAAATGTAACAAATTTTAGTAACAGTCCTGGTGTCTTAGCAACAGTTTCTGAAGTGTCCTCAAACAGATTCAGATCTGCCTGTTCCTGAATGCAATCAAGACAATTTCCTCCAGCAGCTTGTGCAAACATTAATATTCTTGAATCTCTCATTTCATGCTATTGAGAATCCAGCATTCTGCACATTAATAACCATGCTCAACCCTGCAATGGCTTTACAGATACCCACACGAGGAACATTATATCAGGTCATGAATGATATGTACAATCAGCTATTCCAAAATCTTCTCTTTGATCATGACCCAACAATCAAGGTATCTCTGGCAGTGGATAATTGGACAAGTCCTAATAACCTTGCCTTTATGGCAATTAATGGTTATTACATTACAAAGGATTGGGAGTACCATGAGCATTTACTGGATTTTGAAAGTTTAGAGGGTGCTCATACTGGCAAGAATATGGCAGAGATTCTCCAACAATCACTAGCAGCATGGAGGCTTGAGAGCAATCTTCTTGCAATTACAAGTGACAATGCATCAAACAATGGTACCATGTGAGCACATCTTACATATCAGTTGAGGCCAGCATTGCAGCAGTTGAACAAGACAACTGATTGGGATGCAGAGAGTGGGACAATACCCTGTCTTGCTTATGTGATTCAACTTGTGGTTTGAGAGCTGGTTTGCAATCTCAAGATTCAGCCAGACAATGATACTCTACCCACTATTTTTGATGAGAGCTCAATTACTGATGACCTAGCATCAACAGACACATTTGCAAATACTCTTAGAAAGGTAATGAAATTTGGTAATGATCTTGATATACTTGAGTTGATTTACTAATCTTTGCTTGACAATAGATTTGTCTTGTTGCCAATGCAACCAATGCCTCCTCCTAACTTACTGCATGTTTCTGAGAATATCAACAAGAGAACCAGTGCAAGATGATCCAAGATGTTTGCACAAGATGGAATTCCACCTATAAGATGTGTGTTTGTGCCTTGTTGCTTTGACAAGCTGTGGACTCATGGATCCAGAACTCATCACCAAAATACCAAAGGCTTTACTTATTGGACCATGACTGGAAGCAGCTAGAGTATATGATTGGACTGTTGCAGCCATTCAGTCAATTTACCAAGGTACTGTCCAAAACAACAGGCCCAACAATTCATCTGGTATGGGCAATGTACAATCATCTTTTCCAGTATTTAGAAAGAGAGGAGGACAAGGCCCAACAGTTGACAACAAGAGAGAACATTCAAGAAGCTATCAAAGCTGCCAACTTGAAATTCCAGAAATACTATGATGATACTGAGCATCCAAAGGGTGAGCTGCTAGCTGTAGCTGCTGCTCTCCATCCATCATGCTGCATGAGAGCATATGATTCAGAGGATTGGACCAGTGATGAGTGTGAAACATACTGACAATATATTTTGAGGTTTTACAAAAAGCATTATGAGAAATATGAACAGCCAAGAGAAGTAATACTTGATGTGAATGATGTATGTTTGTTATAAGTATTATTCTGATTTCTTCTCTGCTAACTTCTCTAGGATATTGAGCAAATGATTTTTGAGAGACCCCATTAAAGATGAGCAAATTTCCAAAATGAAATGAAGTGATATTTAAATGATGAGAATTTGACATCATCTTGAGCTCCAATTCTGGAACAGTGGAGGATGCTAGAGCCTGATTTTCCAACTGTTGCTTGGATGGCAAGGGACATTCTGGCTATATCTTTGACAGGAGTTGGGGTAGAATGGGTTTTCAATGTTGCTTGGGATACATGTCATTATCAACAATCATGGCTCCATGCATCTACAATCAAGAAGATCATGCTGCTTAAACATGGAGATAAGGTGCATATGCTGGATGAAGCACTCATATCACATGAGGAGTTGGCCAAGGAAGTCATCCAAGACAATCAAGATGATCAAGATACCCCAGAAATTGTACAGGAAGAGATTGCAAGCCTGCTAAATCCACTACTCAATCCAGATGAGGAACAGGAAATACATTAACATTATCAATAGATAGACTCAAGTAGCTAATAGCTTGCAATATGATCCAATTATGCAAAGAGCATTACCAAATTTTGGTACTTTTCCAAAGTTGAATAAATTGATAAAATTATGTTAGAACTGTTACCAAATTTTGTTACTTTTTGACAACATAAATGGGACCAGGGTTCCTGGTCCCATCCTACACTTTACTGGTCCTGTCCCATATACAATATTGAAATCCTGGTCCTATCCCATTTTGTCATGTCAGGTTCCGGGCCCGTCCTACTAGCTAGATTTTGATCCCGGTCCCAATCCCATCCCAATCCCAGTTCCCACAGAACTGTCCCAATATGCTGTTAAACAACCTGGTCCCATCCCATTAAGCTGAGCTTCAACCTGATCCTGTCCTCGGGACGGGAATTGGGACAGGAATCTGGGACCGGGATGGGAAATCCCAGAACCGGATACCACTCTATCAACAGTTGAGAGAGGTGAGATGTCAAGGTTGGTTGTCTCTTCACAAACTTGGGTTTGTTCTTCAGGTAGGTTTTCAGCTGGTGTCCCAGGTTCGCGAGTTTCAGGGGGTTGGCTTCTTCATGTTGATACCATTGTTGGGTGTCACCAAAGAAGAGTGGCAAAATATGAGGATTGTACATGTGGATCAGCATGACAATGAATCTCTAGGAGGAATATACATGGAAAAGAGTACACAAGGTAAAAGGTCTGTATTCTGGCAACTATGTACAACTTGTAAACAAGATTGCCACTGGCTTCCAGCAAGGGGTTCACACAGTGACAGCCTTTTATGTGTGCTCGCGAGCACATGACTTAGTGCCTCACAAGGACACATGCAACTCCCAGCAGCTCGCGAGCTGAGGCCTCTGGCCTTCACGGGTGCTATTTGTCTGTGTAAGGGGTTCGCGGCAAATCCTTACAGGAGGAGCAGAAGGAGAAGAAGGAGAAGAAGAAGAAGAAAGAGAAGAAGAATAATGATGATAATGAAGATGATAATGATGATAATTAACTTGCCATTTAGACAGTTCCTGTTTGTTTGCTGGCTTCAGCT